CCGAACATAAACTTGAAGAGTTGAACATCTTCATATTAAAATTATCACATCGTAACCAGAGCAAGAGAAAATTGATAAAATTTCAATATATCAGCGCAGAAAGCAACTCAATAGCAGCATAAAATTGCTGAGAAAATATTTTAAGAGCTAAATAAATAAACATGCATACAATGAGAAAAGCCTTTTATATGCTGGAGAGTAGTGAAGTGAAGGTAAGAAGTAGTAAGGCCAAAATCGTAAATACGCATTAACCCTGAGTTAAAAAACTGGCAACAGTGATATCGAAGGTAATTGTTGGCAATCCTGAAGGCCCCGCGGAGTTTAAGTGAGTGTTTCCACGACCCTCTATTGCTCTCCTTTCATCACCTCATCCACATAAAAACACACTCAATTCTGCCCTACTACCAATTAGTTTGCTATAATGATCGTAGATATGAAAACAAAGATGATGTGGCCTTCTGTTTGGTCGTAGTTTCCTTTAGCATTGTAGTGCTAATTCGACCTTGCTTTCGCAACTTTTGTCGCAGCGCCGGGTAGACCTTGTGGAACGTACCTGGCCCTGTGTCATCTGCCATAGCATTCGTGATTTCCAGCTTCGAACCATCGACTTTGTACATTCACAAAAGTTTAGCTGGCATCGTAGTTGCCATCGTCAGTTAAAGGCACCATCGTTAGCACAGAGTTACAGTTTGCCAGTTTGATAAGTGACCCACAATCCAGGGTAGGTTAATGATGAAGTCTCGATTTATTTTAGTGAGATTGGACCAGATTGAAAGGAGCATAATTTATTAACAGTCTTCTCCACTCTCTATGCTCATTTTATGATTTATCTCCTCTTGCCAAGAAAGACTTGTGTTGAGTATACTATGCAGTGGGCAGATTCATCATAAATAGACAAATGCATAAAGGATTAGGCAACGTACGTCAAATATATGGGTGAAGATTTTATAATCCAGAAAGTATGAAAGCAAAGACTGCTTAAATAGTCACAATGTCGGGTCACAAATCCAAGATCCCCATCTGTCGGGCGTACTGATATGGCAAGAATGAACCGATATCAAATAAGCCCTGGCCTCAAGGCCAAGAATCGAGTTTCATTACTATGGGCATCCACATGATCTTGTCTCTATACTGATAAAAACGCTCAAGAAAAGGGGTGAATGGCTAGGCGGAGAGAAAATACGATTGCGACCCTAGGCAAAAGTAGCGACATGAATGAATGCAAAGAGCGAAATGAGATGAGGGCAGCCAAACGAATAGCGATGTTATGAAAAGTAAACATTTACGTATAATGTCAAGTCGCAAATGCCCCATTTAACTGACAATGGTAGAGAGTAATCTAAGCTTGAAAATGCACAACCCTTTAGGATTATGGCGTATATTCGCATGTTTACCATAAGCGTCGCGAAACGGTGAAGATGGATGGCACAAGGCCTAGGGTGTCTGCTGTTGGGCCAATAAAGGTTGCTTGCAAGGGATATAAGCAAAGGGGGTTGGGAGGAGAACGGAGAGATAGGAAAACCAGGAAGATTGTGTAAAGAAGCGAAGGTTGCCGGTTCTGTAGGCACCCATATACGAACGGCGGCAGGCGAGACGTGCCGAGTATGGGCCGAGTTGAAAGACGAGAATGCGGCATGAGTCGGCTTGCTTTGCATGCAGGTTGGACGGACAGATGGATAAAAGGGTGAATAAAGCCAATATCGGAAGGGACAGAGGTGATTGCCATTCAAAAGTGAGGGGATAGAAAAGGCGAGGACAAGAAAATTCAGAGTCCAGCCAACCGAGCAGATAAATTAGGAGAGAAACGAAGATAGGGGTTCATGTACGGGACAGGTTATTGTGCTGTGACTAACAACATGCAGGACCGCCTTCTATTGAGATATTTTGCAGATGGGAAAACAGCATAATTAGATTACCTTACGCTAAGACACGCCACTATCTGCAGGGCTGGATATTAATGCTGTTGCGTATACCATTGTTACAGCTTCAGTTGGTACAAGTAGTACGAAGGCTATTGTAACTATGTTAATGTTAATTTTAGGTGGAAAACAATAAAAGTTACTCTCGACTGTATAAATCTCCGACCAAGGCCAAGAGTGAGACAAATTCGGAGACTGAGGTGACCGTACAGACCGATAACAATTGTGTCGACATAAGTGAAGTGATTCCTGGCAAAGCCATCGTGAACATGTCAAATATGGCTCGGCCACAGAAAGTGATCGTAATGCTGTCTGGCGGTAGGTTTGTATTTAAATCATTATGAGAGAGTCTAGTCAAAGTATAAGGTAACAAAGGCAACCAGACAACCACGCAGACGAGAATTGCTATTAATGACCATTAATAAGCGCTCTTCGCTTCCCCGTTTTCCCTCTCAACTAAGTCCATTTTCTGCCTCGGAAATGTAGACCCAACCAGCACAAGACCCAGTCACGACAAAAATCAGTTCCTTCAATTGCAGCCCAAAAGCCCACCAGATGGCGGGCAGGTATAACAACGCTTCGCGTGAAACGTAAACAAATACATGCCGAAAGGCACAGTTGCACATACACGATAGGCAAAA